TAGTTTTGGTATTGAGGTAAAAGTTACCTTGCATTCGCTATATAACAGTGGGTGGTGGTCACGAAGATGACTGAGCAAATTTGATGCATTTCCCCCTTTTGCAGCTACTTTCTTCTTGCAAGATCAGCAGACAGGGTGACCGTCCTCGATTAAATTGCCTTCAGGACTCTTGTAAAAGCCAAAATACGACCAGACCACCGATTTTGGTCCTCTTAGATGGCTGAAAAATCTCCCGAGCGCTGTCACTGCCTTCCGCCATTTCGTCTCGTGCAAAAAAAACAACAACAACACTGCATGCTGCTTCTGTGTCAGACTGATGTTGGCTGGACAGGATTTACCGCGAGTTTTCAAAAGCGCGATAATCAAACACGGTTTTGATGATAATTACATTTTAAACGGTAATACTAACCGTCAGTGCATTTTATCGTGATTTATCGTGAAACCGGTAATCGTTCCATCCCTAATATTGACCCTTTAACTACTGCCAGCTTAAACACCCTCTTAAAATAGTAGAAACGCCCTTTATCAGTTCAGGGTTACACTATACAGTACTTGCTTAAGTATATGAATGCTTCTAATCTGACATATCTCGTGACTTGCGTGAAATCTAATCATCTGCCTCAGGCATTAGCAGCTTAGATCCTTAAAATGTCACATTCATTTGTCTTATTGATCCGAGCTTGTGCTCTAAACACATGGTTTGTTGAATACAGTCTTCAGATGTGTGGCCAGTTACAGCCAGAGCCAACTTTCTTCTCAAACTCAATGACCTTTTTTCGTTTTCAGAATGACTTAGGGCCTGCATGCAGACTAAAAGAGCACATGCGTGTCTCTGTGCTCTGGCGGCCCGCAGATATAACAAGTACGGTAACAGAAACTGTCAGGCAGGCCAAAAACTTCAGTCTAAATCCAAACAGTGCTCTGAAGCTTGTCCTGATACCGAGCTGTCTGGATTCCTTTCAGCAGCACAAAGCGCTGGCGGTACAAACCATCTGTCATATATGACAATATTTGTAAGTCTGTAAGTTGAATATGCCCATCACACAGATTGATTCTGAGTTGTGGATGAATATAAATGCCAGACAATAGCAGGGCTATTACCTGAAATGTGCAGCATTGTGCAGATAGCGATGACTCACGACCTGAGCTGTGGCTTAAACTCATGAGGGTTCAACAGAATATGCTTCCACTGCATGAATATTAACAAATATCAAGAGGAGTCATTGTCAGCCTTCATTTTCTTTGAAGGCTGAATACATAATGCACTATAAAGCTATTAGTAATGCATTTTTGGTTTCACAATTAATTTTAGCCACCATTATAATATAATGTATAGTGTATAGTATACTGTATAGTATATAGTATATATTATATACATAGCCATTCATGGTTACACATTATGCACTTAAATAAGGCATACAATTGAGTGTGTCACATGTTTTAATTCATTACATTATTTAAAAGTAGAACTGCACAATTGCAGGATTGCAGATGTGCCTACTGCTCTTCAGAAACCCTTATGATTCGAGTTTGGCTTTGATTTGTAGTGTATTCTGCAGAGAGAATGTACTGTCTGGGGATTTGGGTATGTGTTTTATGTATACTTTTAAAGGGATAATTCACCCAAAAAATGAAAATTACCCCATGATTTACTCACACTTAAGCCATCCTAGGTGTATGGCTTTCTTCTTTCAGACGAATACAATCAGAGTTATATTAAAAATGTCCTGGCTCTTCCATGCGTTATAATGGCAGTGAATGGGGGTCGAGATTTTGAAGCAAAATAAAGTGCATCCATCCATCATAAAAAGTGCTTCACATGCCTCCAGGGGGGGTGAATAAAGGTCTTCTGAAGTGAATCGATGCAATTCTTGCCATCCAGGTGCTGAGTCTCTCTTTCCTTCTGTTCCAGAATGATCCAGGTAGAGAGGGAATCAGCGGAGCTCCGGGCAGATGAGATTGAGAGTCGGGTGAACAGCGGCAGCATGGATGGCCTCAACGTGACACTGCGGCCACGCTCCTCCATCCCCACCTCCGTCACCGCCCTTTCTCTGGCCAGTTCATCACCTCCCGTTAGCGGCCGATCCACACCCAAACTGACATCCGGTTCAGCGGCCCACGAATTGGGCATCATGACCTTGGTGATCCTTGCTTCACATTGCAATGCTTTTATGTTGTGTTAACCCTGTTAAATCGCCTTTTTCTAAGACTGACAGCACTAAATCATCTGTCACCTTGCATTTTCCTTTGTCTCTTTCTTCCTGCGTTTAAACTGCCATTAAACACTTCAGCCTAGTGATTTAAGGAAACATCGCAGGCGAGTGGCTGTAAGTGTCTCTACATCTTTTAATGACTTCAGCAAAGATTTACTTGCTTGTGCTAATTCAGTGTGTGTGCATTAGATAGTGAGGATGAAAAACATGAACTTAATAGGTGACTAAGTATTAATGAGTTTGTGTTCAGGGATATGAGGGTAATGTAATTAGTTTTTTGCATGAGGCGATATCGAGCTGATTTTGTTTGTGTGTTTTTGTCCCAGTCCCCTGTGGAGGCCCGAGAGGACAAGACCACCATCAAGTGTGAGACGTCGCCCCCTTCCTCCCCCCGCAGTCTCAGACTAGACCAAATGAACTTCGCTCAGCTAACAGGAAGCCTTGAGGATGGCCGAGGGTAAACGCACACACAAATCCACAGACGGTCACGTCTCAGGTGCTAATAGATCCCTCTCTGATTGAACTGGATGAGACATAATTTTCCCAGCAGGCACACTTGAGGTGAGAGTGTTATAGGCAGAGATTTTCCAAACACACTCAGCTGCTCTTGAGACTATGGGTCTATAAACTAGTTAATTACTGTCAGTTTGCCTTTGTTCAAGTCATATGTGACCCACATTTGTTCTGTAATACTCCTCCAGGTGTGTCATGCGCAATACACCACAGACTTGTGAGCCAAGCAGATCTTAAATCTTTGAAAATAAGTTGATTATTGTAGGTAAAAAAAAGTGTTTGTCTAAACCTCATTCACATGTATTAATCTTTGTTAATATTATATATGTACTAATATTAATGTATCTGAATTAATATTAAATTCTAAAAATGTATTAAATTTTTCTATTCAATTAAGTTATACCTATAGCAGATCATTTGCTCTTTTATCGTTTTTAACTTGTATTTGTTTAACAGACAAAATATAAAATATGCTGTTTTCCATAGAGATTTTCCAGAAATGCTGTTCTTTTGAACTTTCTATTCATCAAATAATCCTGAACAAATGTATCACAGTTTCCACAAAAATATTAAGCAGCACATCTGTTTTCAACATTGATAATAATAATAATAAGTAAGCAATGTTTCTTGAGCAACAAATCAGCATATTAGAATGATTCGGCTTTTGAGTCATGGGACAAAATTACATTTTGAAACATATTAAAACAGAAAACAGCTCTTTTAAATTGTAATGATATTTAACAGTCATACTTTTTACTTTATTTTTAATCAAATAACTGTAACCTTGGTTAGCACAGGAGGCTTCTATTAAAAGCATAAAAAATTTACTTGCCCCAAACTTTTGAATATTATATTTTATCAATATAACATAGACATTATATATTTTATCAACGTAATATAGACATTTAATAATATTTATTAGATAACATATTATTTATCATGTATATCATATATTATATGTTATGTCAGGATTTGAACCTAGGTCCACGTTTAATGCTAAATAAAAACATCAAAAATAAAATCTCTGTAAACTTACTTATACTAAGAATTTCAAAATTATTTTCCAGTGGGCAGCATCGTATTTAGCCATCATATTGTGCTTTTAATTATGTTGCTCCAGGTGTTCTCTCCAGAGCATCATCTGCTATTTAAGCTCTGTGAGGTTTTAGCTGTGTGTGATGTTTTATACGGCTAATTTTAATGATGAGCTGCCATGGGTATTGTCGAATACAAATCACACTTTTGTATTCTGGCTAATTTAATTTAAATAAGGCATTCAGACGATGTCCTGCACACTCAGACTAATACACATTGACTTGAATCAAAGCAAGAAATCAAGCCTGATGTGCATTTTTTCAGTCTCTCTCTGTCCTTCCTACTCCCACATCACTGTTGGGGATATATACTGCATCTCAGAGCAGCCCAGCTCTATCAAGATTGAATGCTTTACACAAATTTATGGTGATGTCAGGGGAGGAGTGATTTCATTACAATTGAATTGGCTTCGATAGAACCAAATAAGAGTGCAGGAATAACGAAACATTTCTCAGCGAGGCAGGCAGTTAGTCTGATTAAAAGATTACAAACAGAAATGATCATGCATGTTATACAGTGTGAGGCATTGTTCACACACCTTTTTTAAATGTTTCGGTGCACGTCTCTTTAAATGATAATGAGCTACTGCTCACCCCACCTTTCTCTTCCGTTTTTTGTGTATTCTGTGGTGCGTTACCATCAAAAACAAAACCAATCCATTGCATCCTCAGTGGCTCTGATGTCGGGAGAAAATTAAGACTCTTGCGTTCACTTTTACATCCAACTACAAAACACCCGCATTGCTTACGATACGTTGTTGTCGCTACAGCTGCTCGAGCGGGGAGAAAATGGAAGACAGCTAACAACTGGCCGAGGGCGGAAGTATGTTAACACGGGACAGTCCGTCACCGGTCGTAGGCGGGGCCTAAGCAGTATGATGTCATACTGCTCAGAAATTCAAAACGACTTGATAATTGAGACTTTGGTTTTTTGGGGGGATTAAAAAAAAAAAGGAGTGAATGGATTTTTATCATTGTAGTGATAGTGATGCCTATCATAAGTGATGCCTTTAATCTAGCAGTTATTAAGGGCACCAGGCCTCACCACTGTTACTGTTTCTGCAGGCCTTAAAGGGATAGTCCACCTAAAAATTTAAATTTTTTATCATTTACTCACTCTCATGTCAACCCAAATCTGTATTCTGCAGAACACTAATGATATTTTGAACACTGTTGGTAACTAATCAATACTGAATTTTTTTTGTACTTATAATGGAAGTTAGTGGGTACCGAAAATGTAATAAGCAACATTCTTCAAAAAATGTTCTATGTTCCACAGAAGAAAAAGTCATTTAGGTTTGGAAAGTCATGAGGGTGAGTTAATGATGGCAGAATATTCATTTATGGGTGGACTATCACTTTAAGATGCTTTAAGTCACACAATGTCTCTCTTTTTCTCACTTTCTCTTTCTCTCTCTGCTTAGGGGCAACAAAAAGAAGGGCATAAAGTCCTCTATTGGCCGTCTCTTTGGCAAGAAGGAAAAAGCACGTTTAGATCAGCCTTTGAGCAAGGACGGCCAGGTGACGCCACCTGTCATTCCAGGTATCATGAAACAAACACATACACACATTCCATGCAGGAAATGTCTGGTTTTCAATACCTTTACAGAGATCTAAGCAAATGAAGGTTGCATACTCCGTAACTAACTGTATTTTAATATGTTGTGACACGTGAGATTTCGAGATGGTCATTGGAGATACCATGACCTTGAGCAAACTGGGCACACAAGCAGAGCGAGACCGCAGGATGAAGAAAAAGTAGGTCTTCTCTGCTTTATCACTCTGTGATTCTCACTCATATAGATCCTTCACCCTGACGCCCATCAAATCACCCTGAGACATTCACTAATCTGACCTAATCTAATCTATTACCTAATTACACAGTTCAATTAAAGCAAATGGCCAATCAATTGGATGGCAAAGTGCCATTTCCTGCAGATAAACAAGTTACAAATAACGCTTAATAGTAGACTAATAACATGGCCTCATTTAAGCATACTTTACCATCTTGTAGAGCATGTCCTCATCTTATCTCTGTCCCCTGACCATTAGCGTGACAGAAAAAATAGGTTTCCTTATTAGCACCTGCCATGTGGATTTGTGTGTGTGTGTGTGTGTGTGTGCGTGTCCATTTTGGCACTGCTCTAAGAACAAAATGAGCTTCTTGTTTGGGTGTTAGAAGAGGAAAAGAAATTGGATAGCCTATCTAATAAAATAGATGATGTTAGGAGAATATCCTAGTGCTATTCTCCAATACAATGAAAATAAGTTAATAAAAATGTATAACATTTATTAAAAATTTTTATAAATATTAAAAAATAAATTAATAAATACATCAAGACCTGAGTATTGGCTGCTGAAAATTCAGCTTTGCCATCACAGGAATAAATTACATTTTAATATAGATTAAAACAGAAAATATTTCACAATATTAATGTTATTACTAGATTTTTTTTATCAAATAAATGCAACCTTGGTAAGAAAAATAAATCTTACAGCGCTCAAACTTTAAAATGTCAGTGTAAATAATAAAAAAATATTATATTTTATTTATTTATTTATTTTGATTTGATTTGAATCTAGGTCCACTTTCATGCTAAATATAAACTATCAATAACATTAAAACATTTATACATTTTAATGACTCCATTCTTTTGAATGGTAGTGTATATCAGCCAGAATTGATGTTAAAATCCCCATATTGTTTAACCACTTCACTGTATGCTTCATATGTTCAGACTGATGTGAGTTTGATGTGACTGGGGTTATATTTCCTCTAAGCTCTGACCTTTCTTTGTCTGCTATCAGACATGAACTGCTGGAGGATGCTAGGAGGAAAGGGCTTCCTTTTGCTCAGTGGGATGGCCCAACTGTGGTCTCCTGGCTCGAGGTACAGAGACATCAGACACCATCCCTCCCACTGTGCAGTAATGAGCACAGCACTCATGATCTCCATGATTATAATCACACAAATCATGGGGGGGGGGGATACGGATAACAATAATTATGATAATTACTTACTCGCTCTGATGATGATGGAGATAATGAAGATGCATCTTGACGGTCTTCTCTCTGACATCCTCCAGCTGTGGTTGGGCATGCCAGCTTGGTACGTGGCGGCGTGTCGTGCCAACGTGAAGAGCGGCGCCATCATGTCAGCACTATCAGACACGGAGATTCAGAGAGAGATCGGCATCAGTAACCCACTGCATCGGTTGAAGCTGAGGCTAGCCATTCAAGAAATGGTGTCACTGACGAGTCCGTCAGCTCCCCTCACCTCACACACTGTAAGAGCTCTGACCTTAAACTGCTCATTTTCACATATACAGTCTCAAACGGAAAACAAATATGAATCATAAGTTAGTCAGTGCTAGTCCTCTGTCATTGTCTCATTGCTATGGTTTAGAGATAAATTTATTTTATTTTTAAATAATTATTAAGAATGAATTAATTATAGTAATTTTATAAAATCATAATATTTTTGTATATTAATTATTATTTTATAATGAAATAATCTTCATGACAGCAATTTGTGTAACAAAAATATATTTAATATATTGTTGTAAAATGTATTTTATTATTTTAGAATAATAATTAATTAAAATAATTGATACAATTATAGTAATTGTATTATTTATTTCATTATTATTTTAATCATTATTTATATACAGTAATTATATAAAAATAAAAAATATATAAAATTAAATAATCTGTATTATAATTTGTGTAAAATATATATGTAATATATTGTTGTATAAATGTATTTTATTTTATTTAGCATTATTAATGTACAAATAATGAATTATTTATAATTATACAATGTATAGTAATTATAATCATTTAAATATAAATGTAAGAATTTTTTAATGATTATAAAATAAATTATAATCTTTGTATAATAATTTTAGTTATTATTATAATTATTATTTAAATTTTTTGTGAAATAAAATAATTATATAAAAATAATTGTATTAATTAAATCATCTTTATAATAATTTTGCTGAACAAAAAAATATAGATATAAAATATATTATGTTTTATTTAAACATTAATAAGTTATTGGTGATTTTGGTCCTAATTCAGGTTAAAATAGGCATCTATACACCTATTACATACATTGAAAATAATTGCCTTGGGGGTGTTAGTAACATGACTGCCAACTGGACCAACTTGCCTTAAAGGGATTTTGCTGTAAAGGTGTTTATGAGGACTGTGCCATTTGTGATCATTTATCTGTGTGTGTGCCTCTTTGTCTCTGTTCAGTCTTCCGGAAATGTGTGGGTGACCCACGAGGAGATGGAAAACATGGCATCCTCGACCAAAATGGTTAGTCCATCTGGGTGACTCCCTTGTGCCTGCGGTGCCATGCATATGCCACGCTTCCGCAGCCCTCACAACCCCCAGCCTGTTGCCCCTGAATCCACCCCCATCCCCCCCAAAGAGTGCGCTTATTAAACCTTTTTGCATGTTTCTGTGTGATTGTTGTCCTGTCGCTTTGCAAAATTATTTCATATTTAATCGCATTTGCAATAAATGTTACCTAGTAACAACCACAGACGCTGTTGCTTGGTGTGCACTTCATCTACTCTGACTGGACTGAGCTTATTTAGCTAGAAGAGTGCATTGTTAACACTCTCCTCTGTGCTCTAACACGCTGACTGACAGGAGAATGATGAAGGAAGCTGGGCTCAGGTGAGCCTTCCAGTGACTTCTTTTGTGTGCTCTTCACTTTCTTTTAAATTTAAAAGTCCGTTATTAGCTTGGTATGTTTATGGCGTAGGAAAAAAAATTACAGTCTTTGTTAGATTTTCAGAAAATTCTAATTTGGAATGGAAATTTCTGCAGTTGTACTGTATATTTGACCCTGGACCACAAAACCAGTCTTAAATGTCAATTTTTCAAAATTGAGATTTATACATCAGCTAAAAAAACTGAATAAATAAGCTTTCCATTGATGTATGGCTTGTTAGGATAGGACAATATTTGGTCGAGATACAACTATTTGAAAATCTAGAATCTGAGGGTGCAAAAAAAATCTAAGTAAATCACCTTTAAAGTTGTCCAAATGAAAATCTTAGCAATGCATATTACTAATCAAAAATTTAGTTTTTATATATTTACGGTAGGAAATTTACAAAATATCTTCATGGAACATGATCTTTACTTAATATCCTAATGATTTTTGGCTTAAAAGAAAAATCTATAATTTTGACCCATACAATGTATTTTTGGTTATTGCTACAAATATACCCCAGCGACTTAAGACTGGTTTTGTGCTCCAGGGTCACATATGTAAGGAATACAATGATTTTGGTAAAATTGGGTAGTTATGATCATGATCAGCAGTTATGATGATATTACTTTTTATAGGCCAAAATGCATTTTTAAATTATTATATTATTACAAAATATTATTAAAAATAATGAATTATTATATAATAATAAATTAGTAATATTATTAACACTATGTTACAATTTAGTATTATTTTATTATATAATGTAAATGTATATAAGAACTATAAATATTATTTTTTTTTATTTTATAAAATAATACTAATACATTTATGGGTCTCTGTGTAAGATAGAATTAAAATGAATGAACTAAACCCGTGTAAGATTCATTTGATAGAGGCACAGTAAAATAATATCTCTTTTCTTTCTCAGACACTAGCATATGGTGACATGAACCATGAGTGGATTGGGAACGAGTGGCTGCCCAGTCTCGGCCTGCCTCAGTACCGCAGCTACTTCATGGAGTGCTTAGTGGATGCTCGTATGCTGGACCACCTAACTAAGAAAGACCTGCGGACACATCTCAAGATGGTGGACAGCTTCCACCGGTAAATGATTGCAGTGATTGCTCATTTTTAACAACCTCAGTGTGAACCAGATTTGTATGGAATGCTATATTCATTACATCCCGACAGGGCTAGTTTGCATTATGGCATCATGTGCTTAAAAAGGCTGAACTATGACAGGAAGGAGCTGGAGCGAAGAAGAGAGGATTTTCAACATGACATCAAAGGTATGAGAAATTATCAATGCACTCTCTGGATTCAATACTTCTAAGTTAGGAAGGGAAGAGCACTATCTAGTGGCCGTACCTGTTATCTGCATTTTGGTGGCAGGAATGCATGAGGTCAACAGCTCAGCTTTTTAGTGTCAAATCCATTTAAAGGGGCGGCGCCTGGCTGAACTTCAGCATAACACATGAACTTGACACAGCTGTCATAGCTTTTTTAAATCTTTCATCTTCATTGCTAAAGACACACGCACCAACTGCTTAAGACACACACACGCACACACACACACACACACACATAAACAGATTATGCACAGGATTGTACAAACAGAAAGCAGGCTAGCCAGCTGTGCAAAATGATCACACTCCACATATACTGTTACCTAAACACAGATATTTCCAGTACTGTTATAAACACAGACCCCTTCGAAGATTCGCTTCATTAATGTTTTCTGCATGGGTTAGAGGTTGTCTGATGAAAGTCTTATATCACAGAGTCATTTTAAATCACGGAAACTGTATATCTCAATACATGTTGTTGAGAATTCAATATTTTTATATGTTTTATAAGAGTTCCTTGAAGTATCCTCTGAGATTTTAAGTTAATATTTCAATCATGTAATGACACATTCACATTCATGGTTCTCTGATAGAGGTCAACAGCTGAGCTTTTTAGTGTCAAATCCATTTAAAGGGGCGGCGCCTGGCTGAACTTCAGCATAACACATGAACTTGACACAGCTGTCATAGCTTTTTTAAATCTTTCATCTTCATTGCTAAAGACACACGCACCAACTGCTTAAGACACACACACACACATAAACAGATTATGCACAGGATTGTACAAACAGAAAGCAGGCTAGCCAGCTGTGCAAAATGATCACATTCCACATATACTGTTACCTAAACACAGATATTTCCAGTACTGTTATAAACACAGACCCCTTCGAAGATTCGCTTCATTAATGTTTTCTGCATGGGTTAGAGGTTGTCTGATGAAAGTCTTATATCACAGAGTCATTTTAAATCACGGAAACTGTATATCTCAATACATGTTGTTGAGAATTCAATATTTTTACATGTTTTATAAGAGTTCCTTGAAGTATCCCCTGAGATTTTAAGTTAATATTTCAATCATGTAATGACACATTCACATTCATGGTTCTCTGATATCGGTTAATGGTCACATGACATGCAAGTTAATAGAATATTTAATGTTTTTTAAGTAAGTGTTTTAGTTTGACTTTATATACTTTTTGGATTTTTTCAATTTTGACAGTATCGCAGCCCACATTATTATTATTATTATTGTTGTTGTTGTTGTTGTTGTTGTCTAACTGTGATTTACAAAAATGTATACAGAAATTGGTGTTGTAAATTACAATTGTACTGTAAAATATAATATTATAGTAATTTTATTTTAAAATGCAAGTTACCATACTAATCTTGACTTTCAAACATTAAAACCTTCAAACATTTCAAATCCTTTAGTTTTTATTTTGTCGAAATACCGAATATTTACTTATTTTATCTGTGTAATACTCTAAACTTCTGCCAACAAAAATGATGAAAATTATGCAAATATGTAAATAAAGTGAACATAGCACACATTACGTTCCTAAATGCATGTTGAACTTGCAGCACATGAAGAGATGGAGTTTGCGACATTTACTGTGAAGCTTAGACACAAAATACAGTGCAGCGTTTCACTTTGAGATATGCAGATCATCAGATTACGCAATTTTTTTAATTCAGTCACTGCATTTTCACTATGCTATAATAAGATCTTTGTACAGCTCCATTTACTTGTTTTAATTTTACATTGGATACCACCTTTTCATCAACTCACAAACCCCCACAGTTCCTTCACAAATCCTCAGGGGTTCGCGAACCCCCGCTTTGGAAACTGTATATGATAGAAATATTATAGCTCTATATTGGAACTTGAATCAGTTTAATATGAAACCAATGAGCCATTTTGTGTCTAGTTGAGGAAATAGCAAATTCATGTACTGTTGTCTCTCCCAGATACCCTGGTGTGGACCAATGATCACGTGATGCAGTGGGTTCAGAATATCGGTCTGAAAGAGTACAGTAATAACCTGCTGGAAAGCAGTGTACATGGAGCTCTCATTGCCTTGGATGAGACGTTTGACTTCAGCAGCTTGGCCCTCATTCTACAGATCCCCATGCAGAACACTCAGGTGAGGAGCACACAAATGTTAAAAAGCTGTTTAAAGGTCCATACCTGCTTGCCATGTATTTGATGTATTTATAAATTGCAAATTGGAGTTGCAAATTGAATCTCGTTTGACAAATCGTGCAATGACAATAAAGTATTAATTCATTCATTCTTGGGGAGCACTTATTTGATGTTCTAGCATAGAAAACTCACTCAGCTGATATGGAGGTTCAGCATACTGGGGGTCTTTCCAAAGTCCTGTATCTCTGTGTCTTCCAGGCCAGGCAGATTCTGGAGAGGGAATTTAATAACCTCTTAGCATTGGGAACGGATCGACGCCTGGAAGAGGTTGGTGAACATTTGGATTCTGGTTGAATTTCAGCTAAAAAATTCTGAATTTTTTAGAGGTCACTAGAAGTAAATTTGTCATATGCACTCTGTGCAGTCTATTTACGTTTGTTTTCTAATGAAGCCAAAAGTATGTAGCTAAAAACTGTCATGGTAATATAAATAATGATTTTTTTTTTAACTGTTGTCTTTTGAATCAGTCGTTTATGACTACTGGATACTGAAATTTGATTGGGTGGATTTTCATCTATACATCAGGAACCAATCATCTGAGCCTAGGCTGTGCCTTGGCAGTAGTGGGACCCAAACCGCAAGACGCAGACGCTTTTCATTGATAATTTGACTAGCATATTTATGTATCTATCTGTGTAACCACTTTTTCTTTAAAGCATACAAATGCAAATTTTATAATAAAAATGCAAAATGGCATTAAAAATGTATGAACAACAGTTGCTTTTACATTTGCGAATTGGGAGTGCTTGTCTGCAACCAGAGCCTTCATTGAAGTAGCCAAGATTGCACTGCTCATCATTAATGCTGACATTTGTTCCCTCTAGAACGAGGAAATTAGCTGTGATACTCACTTCTCTGTTGCCATATGTGACCCTGGACCACAAAACCAGTCTTAAGTCGCTGGGGTATATTTGTAGCAATAGCCAAAAATAAATTTTATGGGTCAAAATTATTGATTTATTTTTATGCCAAAAATCATTAGGATATTAAGTAAAGATCATGTTCCATGAAGATATTTTGTAAATTTCCTACTGTAAATATATCAAAACTTAATTTTTGATTAGTAATATGCATTGCTAAGAACTTCATTTGGACAACAGTAAAGGCGATTTTCTCAATATTTAGATTTTTTTGCAACCTCAGATTCCAGATCTCGGCCAAATATTGTCCTATCATAACCAACCATACATCAATGGAAAGCTTATTTATTCAGCTTTCAGATGATGTATAAATCTCAATTTCAAAATAATTGACCCTTATGACTGGGTTTTTGGTCCAGGGTCACATATATGAAATAATACAGATGTTGGAGCAGTCAGAGTTTTGAACAGTATCTTAACCCAGTTATTGTGATGTCATCCCTTTCAATAGAGTGACGACAAGTCATTCCGAAGGTCTCCATCGTGGCGTAAGCGCTTCAGGCCGAGGGACGGCCAGGGCCTGGGTATGATGCCAGGGTCCTTAGAGACTCTTCCCGCTGGCTTCCACCTCAACACCATGTCCATTCCCCCCTCTATGGCTGTACCCAAGAAACAGCTGCAACCAGAAGGTAGAAAGGGGGGCAGGGTGTTTTACAAGGTTGAAATGAGTTCAACATTGCCATTAGCACATTGCTTTTTAATGGTTGCAGTACAGTACTAACAAGTAGTGCCATTGCTAACATTTATACAGTAAATCATAAAACACTCATTGCAAAACACGTATGCATATTGACTGTAAAAGCATGTGTTTAAAGTAACTAATATTAATGGCACAGGTCAGGGTCCTTCAGTTTGTCACTGCATGTTTTCTCCCTTCTGTGTCTCTGTGGTTCAGCAGCCGGTCCCCCGGCCCCGCAGAGACTAGACCCCTCAGCTGTCAGGACTTACTCCTGCTAACTTGCTTTTACTAATCACTGCACTCACACTAACAGGTAAGCTGTTCACTGCAGCCTCTCAGCTCAGGTGAAGATGTTTAATGATGCTCAGATTCATTTCTTGGTTTATTTTTTTTTATTTATTTTTGTTTTAGTCCAGTACATGAATGGTCAGTTTTCTTTTCAAGTGTATGAATGCAAAGCTTAAGTAGCATAAACATCTGTAAAACAGAATTTAATGAAAGTTCCAGGCAACACACTGGGAGCCACCTAGTAACCAATCAGAACATCATCTGCTATGCTGCAACTGCATAGCAGCAGCCTAACATCCATAAAGAATATCCTGGTTTGGATTATTGCACTCCATTATTTTACTTCAATTTTCAATGTCCCTTCATTTATATTTATTCAGTCTCATGGATTACATGAACATGAACTCATGACCGCTTTTATTCAAGTATATATTTAGTTTGTGTGATTATGAGGTATTTAAATGTCACATTTTATAATTATGACTTCACTTCATTTCCCTGCCAGTGCATTCCCACTACCTGTACGGACATATGCTTGCGACCTATCGAGAATGAAATGTGCCAAAATCTGGGGACACGTTGAAAGGATGAGGGAAGGGTTAACCTTCCCCTGTCCTGAACAACAACAGAGCTTTCTTGGACACCGTGCAATAGAGGGGGACAGAAAGATGAACTCTGAGCGCATGGAACACATAGCAGCCGTTAAGGAGAAATCTCATCATATCAGTCGTTTCCCAGTAATCCCGGTTATATAGTCTTCGTGGTGGTCGTACTTAACTGGTGTACTTGGCCCTGTAGTCTGTCAGTGCTAGTCTGCTCTTTTGGGTGTGCCATTGGCATTTTACTGTATAAGGCTTTCTCCCCTTTGGTTATGCAAGATATTAATCAACTTCTCTGTATATATGAAAAACAGAAAATTATGCTATTATGTTTTTTATGGAAATATATATCAGACTTGTATATGGAGATGAATATATCATGAATTTTAAAGTCTCAGTTGTGACTGTTTCCTGTCGGTTAGACAGCTCCGTCTACTAGAATGGTGTTGTAATCAATGTCTTACACCAGTGAAGACGGGAGAAATGTGTGTTTGTGTTCACATCAGCAGTGCTTATCTACATAATTCACTTCCAGGACTTTAAGATCGTATAAAGCCATGATGCTAAATACTGTCGAGCATCAGGGAAAGCAATAGACTTCAGTTCACTTAGCATCAGGAGAAAAAAGATTTCCAGCATGTACTGTAGGACCTGCGAATAAACATGTGTTCCCTTTCAGTCGGTCACTACAAGTCACTTCGTGACCAACGAATTGGGATCTTGCCTAGAGAGACCAATCCACTTCGAGTGTAAACTAAATGAGCCGATGCACATTGGCATGTGATAATTGCATCCAGCTGCCGCTGATCACAGCGTGAGCATAAAAGGGCAGCCAGTGCAACGCATACCAGCTTTTCGCTTCGGAGCCGAGCGACAACATTGTTCTGCTCCTACCAAACTGCTTCGTGTGTTGACGAGTCTAGCGCACTCTAGGGAGCTTCTTGTGTTGGCGGACGGCGCTTCAGCAGTGGTCGTTCCTGTGTCGAGTGGGTTGCGCACTAAAGGCTGCACTACCCCCTGTTGTGCTGCAAGCGGCCATTTCCCCTGTGCGTCTCAGCACCTAAAAGAGCATTTTCCTGAAAGAGCCTATTTCTCTAAAAGAGCTTACAGAGCTTGCGTCTTTGTAAAGACAACGGATCATCTTTTTAAAGATGCCGTTTCACCCGTGCGTTTCTGGATGTGGTCGTTACCCGGCCCCCGGGTAATGGTCATGATGGCTGCCTCACGTGTCTGGGCATTAAACACGCTGAGGTGGCATTTGCGGATGAGTCATGTTCCCATTGTGGGAAGATGACCATTTCGGAGCTGCGGGCCAGGCTCCGTTTCCTCCAGGGGGGCGGAGCCCCGTTGCCTCTGCCGCGATCTAGTGTTCATCCTGGCGGCAGCCAGGCAAGGACTACTTCGGGCAGTAGCACAGGTGGTCTGAGGGTTACAGTGGTGGCAAACCCCTCAGGGAACCAGCCGCCAAAGGAACGCGCTGGGCCTTCCTCAAAGAGCGTACCAGCGGTATCCTTCAGTGCTCCTCCCGACGACTGGATGTCGATCACTGCATCGATCCGGAGATGTCAGCTATGCTCTCCCGGGCCGCCGAGAGGGTAGGGCTCGAGTGGAAACCTCCACCGCATCCCGAGCCCTCGAGGTTGGACGATTGGTTTCTCGGGGTGGCTCGCGCTGGTTCTCAGCACTCACCTCTGTGCTTTTCTTCCTGGAGGTGCATGAGGAGCTCACCAGGTAATGGACGGCACCTTTTACTGGCGGAAACCGACCTGCTGGTTCCTCCTCCCTCTCCACCCTCGATGGGGCTGCAGCTAGGGGGTATGCAGCGATCCCCCAAGTGGAGCGGTCGGTAGCGACGCAGTTGTGTCCTAAGACCGCCTCCTTCTGGCAGGGTAACCCGTCGCTCCCCTCCCAGGCCTTTAGGCATTCGTCTGGTCTGACCGGCGGTGCTTATACGGCTTGTGGAGAATCTGCCTCAGCCTTACACACTATGGCGTTACTGCAGGTTCATCAGGCCAAGGCACTGAAGGACCTGCACGAGGGTGGTCACGATCCGAAAGTTCTGAAAGAGCTCCAAACCGCTACTGACCTTGCGCTCCGAGCGACAAAGGTCACCGCAAGTTCTCTGGGTCGTACAATGTCCACGCTTGTGGTCCAGGAGCACCATCTCTGACTGTGTCTGGGACACCGACAAAGTTCTGTTCCTCAATGCCCCTGTGTCCCAGACCGGCCTCTTCGGCGACGCGGTCGAGAGCTCTGCCCAGTAGTTCTCGGCTGCACAGAAGCAGACAAAGGCAATTCGTCACATCCTGCCCCGACAGGCAGCTGCTGCCTCCACCCATCCGCCGGCTGCAGCGCCCTAGTCTGCTTGTCGCCGAAGGCATCCCCCATGCCGCATCCGCAGCAGCTTCGAGCAAGCAGCGTCATGGAGCTGGGCGTAGGCAGGCCGCCCCGCCCGTCCAGGCCCCCGTCAAACCTGCCGGTGAGCGGAAGAGCAAGAGGCCCTGGTACGGGCGACCCTGAGAAGGAGGAAGCTGCTCTTTGGGGGATAGTGAATGCACCTCTCCCTCCCCCGGAGGAGGGCCGGGTGGAGAATCTGGAAAATCTCGAGGAGAGAACGTTTTTCTCTGTCCCTGGGTCCCAGGAGGGCACGGAGAGTTGTGGACGGACCAACACTGGACCACAGTCATCCTTCTCCATCGCCAGCAGGCAGCAGGGGGCGGTTCGAGATCGTCAACAAAGGCCCTACTCACGCACCCTCTGCCAAACTGTGGAACCAGGTAAGTATTGCACCGCACACTTAGACCCTCTTCGTTCCGCCCACAAGCTGCCCGAGTTGGGTCCCTATGTTCCACCTCGCTGCCCCACTGCGGGTACAGCGGTGGTTCTGCTGGTCCTGCTTGCACGGTATCTGGGTGCCTGGCTAGCGCTACCCAGCCCGTCTCGCTGGCTTCTGCGGACCGTCAGCCTCGGCTATGTGATTCAGTTCGCCTTCACGGTAGTGTTCTACTCCCTAACCTGCGCAAGAATGCGTTTTCCCCAGTGAGCCTTCTCGCACAGATGCTGTGCAAGGTCAGGGAGGACGAGGAGCAGGCCCTGCTGGTGGCGCCATATTGGCCCGCTCAGACCTGGTTCCCCGAACTAATGCTCCTCGTGACAGCCCCTCCCTGGCAGAGGAAGGATATACTGACTCAGAGACGTGGCACCTGCATCCAGACCTCTGGAAACTTCCACCATCTACGAGACACGCTTACACCTTGAAGTGGAACCTGTTCGTCGAGTGGTGTTCTTCTCACCGAGAAGACCCCCGGAAATGCCCGATCAGGGTCGTGCTTTCCTTTTTGCGACAAGGATTGGAGTGAAGGCTGTCTCCCTCCACCCTTATAGTCTATGTCGCGGCGATTGCTGCTAACCATGACCCTGTGGAAGGGAAGTCGGTAGGGAAGCATGATCTGGTCATCAGGTTCCTTAGGGGGGCGAGAAGGTTAAATCCTCCCCGGCCCCCCTCTATGCCCTCTTGGGACCCGTCTTTAGTGCTCAAAGCACTACAGCAGGGACCATTTAAGCCTTTGCAGTCAGTCTAGTTAAAGTTTATTTCTATGAAAACTCTGCTCTTGCTTGCACTGGCCTCCATCAAGAGGGTAGGAGACCTGCATGCATTTTCGGTCGACGATTCGTTCCTAGAGTTTGGGCTGGCTGACTCCCAGGTAATCCTGAGGCCCCGGCCCGGCTGTGTGCCCAAGTTTCCTACTACCCCCTTCAGGGATCAGGTAGTGAACCTGCAAGCACTGCCCCCGGAGGAGGCAGACCCAGCCATAGCTTTTCTTTGTCCCGTCCAAGCCTTGAGATGGTACGTAGACAGGACACAAAGCTTTAGGACCTCAGACCAGCTCTTTGTCTGTTACGTAGGCCGTGCAGAAGAGGAAGGCCGTCTCTAAGCAGAGGATGGCCCACTGGATTGTGGATGCCATCACCCTGGCTTATCAGGCACAGAGTGTGCCCTGCCCGCTCAGGTTGCGAGCTCACTCTACTAGAAGTGTTGCATCCTCATGGGTGCTGGCTCGTGGCGCCTCGCTGACAGATATTTGTAGAGCTGCGGGCTGGGCGACCTCCAACACGTTCGCTAGATTCTATAGCCTTTGTGTGGAGCCGGTATCCTCCTGTGTTCTCACCTCAAACGGGTAGAGGCACTGAGAGGCCCCGGTTTAGTGTCGGCTTGCTAAAACTGCTCCATAGTGTCCATAATGTAGGCCCTGTCGAGCTCCTCCATCCCCTCGGCAGCCAGACGTGGCGGAGCGTCCAGTGCCAGGCCCTCACTCATGAATCATTGAGAACCGGTAGAGGTCTGGGTTCCATATGTAGGGACCTAAATGGATCCCATATGTGTAAAGTCCACGGTATAGTCTTAGAGCCCGTGTTTCCCCGGCAGACCTCTGCCATTTCCAAGAAGGTTACAATCACCTCTAATCTTCCATATGCAACTAAACGGTTGTTCATATGTGTAACTGCTTCCGAAACCTCCTTTGCGAAGGATGGGGCTTCCGCAACGTTCCTGTTCCAAGTGGAACGGGTACGTTTTCCCAGTGTTATCTAATCTCACTGAGTGGTAGTGCTATGACAACAGTGACTGGTCTTCTTGTTGCGAGCCCCGGCCTACACCAGAAAGGGGCGCAGGCGGCTCGCACAGGACACTGGAAGGGGCAGCATCCATGGCGCTTGATAGGGATCCCAATTCATCGGTCATGACGTGACTCATAGTGAACGACTGAAAGGGAACATCTCGGTTACATATGTAACCCTCGTTCCCTGAAGGAGGGAACAGAGATGTCACGTCCCGTCGCCACGGCTGCTGTACCACCGCTGAGCGGCCGGGTCATCAGCTCGGCTCCTCAGCGAAAACCTGGTATGCGTTGCACCGGCTGCCTTTTTATGTTCACGCTGTTATCAGTGGCAGCTGGATGCAATTATCGCATGCCAATGTGCATTGGCTCGTTTAGTTTACACTCAAAGTGGATTGGTCTCTCTAAATGAGATCCCAATTCGTCGGTCACGACGTGACGTCTCCATTCCCTCCTTCAGGGAACGAGGGTTACATACATAACCGAGATGATCTCCGTCACAATGGGAGCAGCCTACCTACCAAACTGAGCAACCTACCTACCAAACTGGTTAAGAGCGCCTGTCAGTCTGTTGGGCAATTGTTAATTTTTTAAGACAGTATTTTCTGTAATTCACAGGATGTATTGTGCTATTGTGGCAGCTAATGTACTGTGTGAAAATGTGTGTATGTGTATTATGAGTGTTACACAATGCTGACAAATCATGTTCTTACTTTAAAAAGTGCTCTCTATTAAAAAAAAGTATTAATATAAGTGACTGTTTTTCATTTTATACACACACAAAAAAGGTAATTCTTAAAATAATTATATCCTGTGAAATGATTGATGGTCAGGTCTTGTTTGTGCTGTGTGGGTCACTGTTGGCATTGGGGCATCTGGTGGAGCATGCATGCCACTAAACTTGACAATTACTGTAGCATCTATTGCCTCTCTTTCTCGCTCTCAATCATCATTACCACATATCTAAAGGAATATATCACCAGTCAAACACTTGAACTTGAAATCC